ATGGGTATTTGGTACCATATAGGAGATTTTGGTCGATTGGGTTCTCTAGGTACGATATCGGGGATATTGGCGCTATCATTGGAGTACAGGGCACGAAATTTCGACACGTGGCAAGGGGGCGAACCAGATTCAAGGCGATATCGGTTTGAAGAGTGACCTATAGTTAAGAATAGGCTTAAGGGTAGGTTGGATAGTAATTTGGTTGGTTAATAAACAGACTTGAACTCTACTTCTTCTGCTCACGACGCACGTTATCCTCCCCTCTTCTCCAGGCAAGATTGATTTGGCTTCCCCGGAGGGTTAAGGCACGCGTGTTACAGGGACACAGAAGACCGATCTTGGATTGTTGGCCAAGATCGAGAAGAGCGATCCCGGGATATCTGGCCCGGATCGATCAAGTACTCACACTCAACTCAACTGCTAGGGTAGCAGCACACAACGGAAAAGGAAAAGGATTTTGGACACAGGATCGCGAGACGGCTCAAGTGGTCAGAAGATCTGGACAAGGCGTTCAAGACAAGACCGAGCAGGATTGAAGCGATCCCCTGGACAGATCGGCACGTTTCATTTTGGCGAAACAAGACACCGATCTACCCAAATTGCGCACTTCCGGCAAGATCGGCCGATCCCAAGACCAGATCGGACCGATCCCAAGGCAAGATCGACGCAGGACTTTTATTTGCTGAGTGAAGATTTCCGCACAGCAAAGACCCCGATCTCGAAGACGAATCAAGATCGGTGCGATCCAAGATCGGGATCGCAGAACCCCCGTTCGTGGTGTGAAGATTTCCGCACCGGAAGCGAACCCTCAACCCAACCTCTCAGCGAGATCGACATCTCCCAAGGCCGTTACGAAGAGATCAAGCCAGCCCAACCGACGGGTACACAAGGTGAGCACAAGGTCATACAACAAGGCACGGATCGGAGTACCCCCTCCGTGAGTCGGCAAGTCTGGGCAAGTGGAAGATCGACACTCATACAAGCAATTTTGTGAGATCGACTTCACCACACCGTCGTCATCTCCTTGTGGCGTGGTCCATGAAGTCCCTTCGTCATGATGTCCGCTAACATCACCGCAGTTTCACAGTACTTGAGCTTCACTTCACCGCGCTTGACCTCATCACGGATGTGATGGTACTTGATATCAATGTGCTTGGCATGGCCGTGGTTGACTGGGTTCTTCGTCATCTTGATACATGACTGATTGTCTTCATGAATCATGAGTTCCGGTCCTTCTTCATTGGCAGCCATCACGATCTCACAAAGCAGACGATGAATCCACTTGCCCTCTTGAATCGCCAAGCTGAGTGCGATGTATTCAGCTTCAGTCGTGGACAACGAAACACTTGGCTGCTTCTTGCTGCCCCAACTCACTGACGCACCGAGTAGCATGAACGTGTACCCCGATGTTGACTTGCGGTCGGTAAGATCACCAGCCCAATCCGCATCCGAATATCCACGGAAGTCGATCCTTGCACTTGGCTTGTAGCAAATTCCATGCGTCTTGGTGCCTTGTAGGTAGCGAAAGATACGCTTAACTGCAACCCAGTGTTCTTCTTGGGGATTTTCCATGAACCGCGACACATAGCCCACAGCAAACGCAATGTCCGGACGCGTTGCAGTGGTCAGGTGCATCAACGCACCAACAGCTTCGCGAAAAGGAGCATCGACCTTGGTAGTTGCATCACTTGAAACAAGTCGAGAGCTCATGTCGACTGGACTTGCGACTGCCTTGCAATCATCCATGCCAAAGCGCTTGAGGATATCATCGACATACCGACGCTGACATAGTGTCACACTGCCATCTTCACCGTCCAAAAGCTCGATCCCAAGAACAAACGCACACTTGCCGCTGTCCGTCATCTCGAACCGCGTCTTCAGGTCGTTCTTGGTTTGTGCAATCAGCTCGAGCGAGCTTCCAGTCACCAAGACGTCGTCCACGTAGACCAGTATAAACAAGCAATGGCCGTCCGAAGTCTTGATGTAGAGACATGGGTCGAAGTCCGATACTTGAAATCCGATGGAGCACACATACTCGTCGAACGTCTCGTTCCACACTCGCGGCGCTTGCTTGAGGCCGTAAATTGACTTCACCAATTCCAGGCAGTCGAACGTACTGTCAAGTTCGACGCCTTCAGGAATCACGCAGAACACTTGTTCCTTCATGACGCCATACAAGAAAGCTGTCACCACATCAAGCTGGTCGATGGGCCAACCAAAATGCTTGGAAATTACGATCACCATTCGCAGCGTCACATACTTGACCACAGGCGAAAACGTCTCCGTGTAGTCGATGCCATACTTTTGGCGGAAACCCTTGGCCACAAGTCGTGCCTTGTACTTCTCGATTGACCCATCCGCCTTGCGCTTGATCTTGAACACCCATTTTGTGCCAATGGCGCGTTGTCCGTTGGGCAGCTTGGCTGCACGAAACACACCGCGAAGTCGCATTGACTCGAGCTCTGCATGAATTGCTTTTCTCCAGTGCACTTGGTCAGGGCCGCTTACTGCTGCTTCAAATGTTGAGGGCTCTGATAAGTCCACTGCTGCTTCAACGGCATTTGCACTCGCACGCCAAAACACAGGCGGAGTTGATTCATCAGAATCCTTCGTTTCTTCGTCTTCTTCTTGGCGTGACGAGTTGTTTTCCGGCGCGCTTGACTCTTCCAGTCCTGGTCGTTGACGTACTGCACGCGGTCGTGGAGCTGCTGTATCTTCATCATTGAGTCGGTTCTTGCGCTTGCCTGTTTGCTTGTACTCCATTTGACGCAGCTCTTCGTCATCAAGATCCAGCAATTCGAAGTCCAGGTCATCGACATCTTCATCAGTGATCGGCAGTTGAAGTCCAAAAGTGGACTCGTCGAAGTTGACATCGCGGCTGATAACCACCTGCCCCGCCTCGATGTCATAAACACGGAATGCCTTTGTGGTGAAGTCGATCTCACAAAATTGCTTGTATGAGTGTCGATCTTCCACTTGCCCAGACTTGCCGACTCACGGAGGGGGTACTCCGATCCGTGCCTTGTTGTATGACCTTGTGCTCACCTTGTGTACCCGTCGGTTGGGCTGGCTTGAGCTCTTCGTAACGGCCTTGGGAGATGTCGATCTCGCTGAGAGGTTGGGTTGAGGGTTCGCTTCCGGTGCGAAAATCTTCACACCACGAACGGGGGTTCTGCGATCCCGAACTTGGATCGCACCGATCTTGATTTGTCTTCGAGATCGGGGTCTTTGCTGTGCGGAAATCTTCACTCAGCAAATAAAAGTCCTGCGTCGATCTTGCCTTGGGATCGGTCCGATCTGGTCTTAGGATCGGCCGATCTTGCCGGAAGTGCGCAATTTGGGTAGATCGGTGTCTTGTTTCGCCAAAATGAAACGTGCCGATCTGTCCAGGGGATCGCTTCAATCCTGCTCGGTCTTGTCTTGAACGCCTTGTCCAGATCTTCTGACCACTTGAGCCGTCTCGCGATCCTGTGTCCAAAATCCTTTTCCTTTTCCGTTGTGTGCTGCTACCCTAGCAGTTGAGTTGAGTGTGAGTACTTGATCGATCCGGGCCAGATATCCCGGGATCGCTCTTCTCGATCTTGGCCAACAATCCAAGATCGGTCTTCTGTGTCCCTGTAACACGCGTGCCTTAACCCGCCGGGGAAGCCAAATCAATCTTGCCTGGAGAAGAGGGGAGGATAACGTGCGTCGTGAGCAGAAGAAGTAGAGTTCAAGTCTGTTTATTAACCAACCAAATTACTATCCAACCTACCCTTAAGCCTATTCTTAACTATAGGTCCTCTTCAAACCGATAGGTCACTCTTCAAACCGATATCGCCTTGAATCTGGTTCGCCCTTGCCACGTGTCGAAATTTCGTGCCCTGTACTCCAATGATAGCGCCAATATCCCCGATATCGTACCTAGAGAACCCAATGGACCAAAATCTCCTATATGGTACCAAATACCCATTCTTGGCACCCAAGTACCCAATGTATGACCCAAAATGCCGAATGTGTCCAAATTCACTTTGCGCCGTCAATTCGGACAGCTTCCACTGGCTCTTTCGGTATGAAACTTCTTGACATCACTTAGTGACCTCTATCAAGTATATTCCACATGATCCAGTATCTTCATCAACCATACATTCATGATCAGTGTGGAACATGACCGATCTGTCATCCAATATCGAGATGTTGGAGGTCGATCCGGTCTAAATCGGCAATTAACACTTTTTCATCTCCTCATACGTGCTTCAATATCATCCTCCAGTGTTATCCAATCGACAACTTCATTCATACGTCTCGACATCGGTTTCCTTGACTCCCCTGAGTATGCAAAACTTCCAGATCGGTGTATAATTAACCAAAATCAGTACTCCCAATTTAGGATCGGTAAAGAGTATCACCGATCCGTATGGTGTTGCACCTTCTTTGCCGATTCACCGACCCGTACCACCTGGTCCCAGATGCACTTTGGGGAGTCACCTTGTCCCAGATGTGTCAATTCTCCAACAAACCGTTGCCACAACATGTCGATCTGCGATCTGATCTTAGCCTGCTTCAATGTACGTATACTTCTTCTTGACCGGCATTCCAATGAGCTGTATGACTTCATCCCGATGTCTGGTTCCAGATCGCCCCATAACATTCTGCAAAATGTTACACCTTCGTCGCAGAGTCATATCCCATCACCCGGTCCCAGATCCTTGTCCCAGATTGTTCCATGTAAATCGTTCCAGATCGCTCCGTCCCAGGTCGATCCATACCCATTAGTCTAACGACAGTTGGATCGGTTCGCCGATCCCGTTAAGATCATCTTCCACCTCCGTATTGGATCGCCGAGTCTCATGGCCTCCTTTTCCACCAGTAAGCGGCGCTTTAAAGGTGTGGCCACCGATCCTCGTACAAAATTTGAGTAGTGACTTTGCCACAACCGCCCCCTGTACTGAAGTCTTTTGTACAGCAATTGACCTCAGTACAGTCACTCATCAACTTCGTTCCAAGCACTCAAGTCCGTCTCATGGCCTCTCCGACGCATCCACCCACCTCGCCGATCTCTTCAGAAGGATCCACCATGTTTCTGTCTCCGGATCGCGACCTGTCGCCCGGATCGCCCGATCTCGGAGGACACACCCCAGCGGTCCCCGATCGGCCTGGGTCTCCGCGCCATCTAGGCCCAATCGGATCGCCCACAATCCCCACGAGATCGGTGGATTCCCAACTATCTGGCGCCCTCCCGACGGGTAGCTTCCGAGATCGCTCCATCGTCCGTTTCGCGGATCGCGATGGTTTGCGTGAGGACCATGACCATTGAGCTGTTGTTTCACCACTACTTTAAGCCCAGGAATTTTCTGTTTCCCTTCTACAATCATGGACGAGCTCCGCCTACGGGGACTTGGGCTTCTGGGCTGATCTCGCGGCAACACATCGAGGCTCTTTACGCTACAGCCCCTTGGGATAATATCATAGTCCCAGTGAACCCGATATCGTTCACCATGACTGGATGGTATCGTGATATGAGTCATCGGTACCTGGAGCTTGAGTCCACTCATCGACAAGCTCTGTGGGAATCCACTCATGCTTTCCCGATTCCTCCGGCTCAACGACGATCTGAACGGTTCATGCAGACATTCTGGCGTCAACGAAAACAACGCCGTTCTCGCTTTGGAGCGCGTTGGAAGAACTTCTTGAAGATGATACTCAGCGGCATGATCGCTGGCCACTGCGATCTCGACATCTTGCTAGATCCCTTCTTCCTCCACTATCCGCGCCCACATGAAGACCGAGTTTGGTATCCAGGGTTAGGACACTCTAACGACCCAGCTGACTTGCTAGGGGCGTTGGACATGGCAGACCAAGAGGATCCTTGGCGCAACCAGTTCCGTAACGCCTATTGGGATCATCCCGGATCGCAGATTGTTGACGGTCATCGGTTTTCTACCAGTATTGGTAACCGTGACCGATCCAATCCGAACCGCCTGTTCAGCTTAGTATTTACGACGTAGTTCTTACGGTAATTACCATAGTTGATTAGACGCGTAGGATGATGAGACGCTTCACATGATTTATATGTACACCACATATAAATCATGTAGTAAGTAGTAAGCCCCGATAATCAATCACTTTCGAATCTTCCAACTATTGGGCAAGTGTTTTCTGCTCTACTCTCTTCGGTCTCTCCGCTCCGTTCGCTCCGCTTTCCTCCCTCCGATCTACAATGCAACACAGATCCCTCGTCTGCAGGACAAGTTCAAACCTGCTCCATCGTCTTAGTCCAAGATCGATATTCAAGCCCGATCGTCTTTCATAATCGTGTAAGTCATTAAACATCTTCTTTTTGGTACTCCAATTCTTTGCAGCTTCCACGATCTCGATCCTCATCGCTCCACATCATTCAGGAAGGTAATTCACTTGACTATCTCCATACTCACATACAAAAACCTCATCCACCAGCATGTGCTACCGTCTAGCACATCTTTCAATCCCTACATCCGCATATGCTACCTCCCGCATACTTGTTCGAACTGTTAAGGTTCGTCCGACTTGCCTTCATGAGACTGCATTACGTCGAAACGGTTTCGACTCACTCGGTTCCGCTCAAACTCTTGCAAGATCGCCCCACAACTTAGATCGACCTCGTCCACCCAACTTAGATCGGGATATCCCTTCCACTTCACCAGAAACTGCCGGTGTACTCGCCCATAACGGGTTTTTCTACCAGATCGTACGTCCAATATTGCCTCTACTTCGTATTCCCCTTCTTCAAGATCGCCATCCCAACTGTCTTCTGGCAGCAGAGCTTCATCGAAATCCAAGCGATCTGATTCCTCTATCGTAAGCTGATCCTTCGGGCGTTCAGGGAACGTCTTTACCTTTTTTAGCTTCGATATATGTACAATCGGAAATAACCGATATGGGGTTCCAGCAATCTCCAATTTTACAGCATGATCTCCACATACGTCCGCAATTCGGAATGGCCCGTGCCACATGTGCGCTAGCTTCTTCGCATATCCCTCTTTAACTCGGTCCAGGTATATCCAAACTTGCGCTCCTACTTCGATCTCGTGTGGTTCCAGATCTTCGTTGTGTCGATCCGCTCGCTCCTGGATTGCGGCTTGTAAACGATCGTCCACTGCAGATCGGGCTCGCTGGTATTGTCTTTGGATTTTGTATCTCCACCTCTTTGGATCGCGATCTCGTGTCCCCGTATTCCCCACTGGTAGCGTAGCCTCCAAAGTCGATCGCGGGTCCCACCCATGAATCAGATAAAACGGGGTATCCCCCGGATCCGATCTTGTGCAGTGTTAATGGCAAATGTGAGCCGCTCAGCATACTCATCCCAGTCTCGCTGGTCAACTTCAGCCACGTACATCTTGAGCGAATGTGTCAGGGTTTGCACCATTCGTTCGGCTGTTCCATTTGCTTGTGGCCTGTAAGCCATAGTAGCACGCTGTTTTTGTCCTACGATCCGACTGAAGGCTCGAAAGAAGTCGGACATAAATCCCGGTTCTCGATCGTGCCTGATAGCCTCGCTAGCTCCGAAGCGTCGAAACACACATTCTTCGTAATTCTCCGCTATTGTTTGTGCCGTCCGAGAGGAGCTAGCCTTTGCAATCACATATCCCGAGAAAAGGTCGACCCAAATGAGCAGTTCGGTGTTCCCCTTGATGGACTTGGGCAACGACGGTATATGATCCATGGCGATGATCTGGAATGGATAGGTTGCGTGTAGATTGCCCGGGGATTTTCCATGAATCATCGGGTTTCCTTTCCCGGTCTCACAGTCGGTACATTCGCCCACATATCGTTGAACGCTCCGATACAGTCCTCTCCAATGAAATCGCGATCTGATCCTCTGATAGGTTCGGCCAATACCCTGATGGCCTCCTTCCAGACTCGTGTGATAGTGATGCAAAAAATCCTGCTGCAACGTCTCAGGGATCACCAACCGCATCAAACCATCGCGATCTTCTGACTCTCTTTTCGCCATGGGGCAAAAAAATAGCAGATTGTTCTCATCGATCTCGTAATCCGGCGCCAGTTTGGCGCACATCTTCACTTCTACCGCATCCAAGTTTGATACATCGCCACTTAGATATGTCTTGAGATTGACAATCCAACGCTCTTCATCTTGAGCTTGGACAATTCGTTGAATCCTGATCCTCTGTACTATCTCCTCCTGTATCACTTCAGGTTCATGACGTATCCTCCTGGCTGATCTCGCGATCGCAGTTACCCGAGCTAGCTGACCATCTTGCTTGGGCTTCAACAATTCATCGAGACGGTTCAGAGTCATCAGATCTTGCCGATCCTCTTCAGCTACAACCGTTCTTCCCTTTTCGCTCTGCAATGCTGTGCTAGCTAGTCGATCTGCGCTCTGATTCCACTCTCGCTTCATATGCAGAAACTCGTGACTAGGCCATGACTGCAGCTTCTCCAACGCTTTGTGTCTCAGAAGCTGAAGGCCCGGTGCCTTGCAGTCGATCTCACCGCGCATATGTCGAATCACCAGACTGGAATCTCCACACAGTATTACTCGCCCCCTATCCAGATCGGCGAGTAACTCAAAGCACAGTAGCAAGCCATTATACTCAGCTTCATTCACAGTCAGATCGTGAACATATCTCGATTCGGCCGCCACGATCGTCCATTCGGGTAACTTCCATATCACGGCACTGAACGACCCTCCTTTCTTTTTTATCCTAGCCGATCCATCGAAACTGGCTACCAGCAACTCCTCATCTGTTTCCACCGTTGGAGGAGGCATCGATATTTTGAGTCGACAGTCTTTTCGTGGGGAGATCTCAATCAGCATCTCTTCCACCTCTCCTCTCGGAGTGATACTCGCTGCTAACATGCCCAGGATTTCTTCCTCTCCTCTTTCACATTTCTTCACCTCCATAGTCCAATTTGACAACAAAGCAGCCCACCGTCCTAATCTCCCGTTGAGCCCTCGAGACTGCATCAACCAGGCTAACGTAGAATGTCGGGTCAGTACAGTGATCTCCCGCGAGGCAAGCGTAGTATAGCATACATCCAACACACGAAGTAGCGCCAGCACTTCTCTTTTCTACCGTTCCGTAGTTAAGCTCATTAGGCTTTAAAGTGCGGCTAGTAAACGTCACCGGATGGTACACGCCATCGTACTCCTGTATCAGGGCCGCTGAGACAGCCCACTTGCTAGCGTAGACCACGATTACGGGGAACCGATCTGGGTCGAAATGCTTGAGCATGGGAGCTGTAGCTATCTTAGCTTTTAGCATAGTGAAAGCAACCTTGGCTTCCGTCCATCGACCCTCGTTGGAGCATTCGTCTCCTGCTGCAAGCTGAGATCGGCCGATCTCGAAGAAATCCGATTCTCTTAACTCATACAACACCGCGGCATACACCGCGAAATCCTCAATGAAGCGACGGTAGTAGTTCAAGCTCCCGAGAAAGGATTGCATAGCTCGTAGCGTGCTAGGAAACGGGATGTTAACCAACGACTCTAGGTTCTTGGGCTGAGCCTCCAGACCATCCATCGACACTCGATGTCCCAAATAATCGACCTTACGGCACCCCCAAAAGCTCTTCGTGAGGCTGATAGACAGATTCCACTTATCACATGCCTCCAGCAACCGTTCTACTTTTGTGTACAAAGATCCCCATGACGCGGCTGGTATGAGAATATCGTCAATGTAAGATCGGCGTCCCAGTATAGACGGTCGTCGATCTGTCTCAGGTTCTCCATCTTTGAACACGTCGATCGGGCCATCAGAGGCTGATCTCTGACCGATCTTGAGATATCCATACAACGCATTGTCCACCAGACGTTGGTAGATCTGGGGCGCGTTCTTAAGCCCAAAAGGCATTCGCAGCCACTCGAACAAGCCAAACGGTGTGACAAACGCTGAGATCAGTTTTGCTCGTTCAGTCATTTCGACGACCCAAAATCCACTAGCCATGTCTAGCGAACAGTACCATAGAGCTTTATCCAGATCTTCCAACAGATCGCTGATCAACGGCATGGGATAAACCATCAGACGCGTCAGCTGGTTAACTCTTCGATAATCAATGCAAAGGCGAATATCCACTCCGTTCTTCTTGATGATCACCACTATCGGAGACGCCCAAGGTGACGTGGATGGCTGAACGATTTTGGCTGCTAATAGTCCTTTGATGAGATCTGACAGCTTCTCCCGATATTTGGGTGCGACCGGACGCACTCTTTGCGCTATCGGTGCTGCCCCACCGACATCAATATCACAGATCGCGCCTCGTGCTGCTGGTGGTAAAGCATTACCTTTACCCATGAGGAGGTGACGGCTCTTCCAGATCAGCGATCTGAGCCGTTGTTGATCTGTGGTGAGAGGCACATCGGGATCACCGATCTGAATGTCCTCAATCGTAACTTCTTCCGTAGTCGCCGACATCTCTGGTAGCACGGCCATATGCTGCTCGATATCTTCCGCAAACAAATCTCCGCTCTCGTGGTGATAAACTGGTATTTCTGCAATCTCGACGTCTTCAGTATTTAGCATTATTTCTTCTTTAGGCTCCTTCGTCTCTTCCGGCTGGCCCAATTTCAACAGTCGGTCAGTCGGCTCAGCCTTCGGTAGAGACGATCTGTCACGTAGCCCTTCTTGACCGGTGTCGCGGTCTCCCTTCGTTGCATGTTGGGTACCGATCTCATGACCGTTCTCCATCCGCGATAGTTCGGCTCCCCTGACCGTTACTTCCCTCGCAACTACAGCATCTGCCTTTTGCGAATCGTCATCGTTAGCTTGCGGCGTTACCGTGGAGATCGCCGGAGACAGGTTCTGTAACGCATCAGACGGACGTTTCAAGATGCGTTTGGGAGCGGCATACGTAGGACGATCTACCAATGGTCCAATCTGTTCTTTCGGTAGTTCGTTCACTCGATCCGTCGTAGCCTCATATGCCAGAGTTTGCCATTCCTTGTACTTCCCCGACCCGACTGTCACCAAACCTTGGGTTCGCGGTACCATATCGCCTTCGACCCACATGCCTAATATAGTGTGGGTGGGCAGTATGATCCCACGGTCGCCAATGTTGGTCATCTGCAGGTATTTCGTCTTACCCCACCCCGAGATCACAGTGGGGACCCAATCTAGTCCTCTAGCGACCCACAACTTCATCTTAGCCCCTCCGATCCCGATCTTCACTTCCCTTGACTCTCCGACCGGGATCACCACGTGTTGGTCCTTCGCCGTTATATGTTGTATCTTCGATCCGTACGCGGGGCGACGTCCTGCGAGATGAATGCGGATTTCTTCTGGTAGACATAGCGCGCCATCCGCTAGATCGAGCCGCACTCCAGCAGGCACCATAAAATCCATACCCAGAATCGCTTATTGCCCTGCCAGATCGCCTACCCATACATTGAAATAGTATACCAGCGATCCCGCGAGGGTCACCTTGATCTTGGTACGTCCTACCGTCATGTACGGAGTTTCTCCAATCCCGATACATTCTTGTCGTTGACTTTCGTCAATATTGCAACCGACCTCACGAGCAAAGGTGGTGTCAATAATCGACACTTCAGCACCAGAATCCAATAACAGAGTAGCTTTTACGTTGTTGATCTTGCCAACGGCTTTCGCTTGTTTGAACCACTTCCCGGGTGAATAATGTTTCCAGTATCCGCGAGATTCACCATAAGCGAGCTCGATCTCCATAGCTGGTTCAGATCGTGAGTACTCATCGATCCGCTTCAGATGGGACACGGAAGCGACACGTTTTAACTTCGAACGAGATATATTTGTTTCCACGTCAATATCCTGCTTACTCTCGCGATCTGTCTTCTTTTTTTCCACGTATAATGCAGAGCCCAGAACGCTCGGCTCGTACCAGATTCAAACCTGGCGAGCGTCCTAGTTTAACATCTTCTCGGCCTTCTCTGGTAGCATCCCCGCATGCTTATTCGGGACGTACCACTGACGGATCATGTTATAGAACTCCTCCATGGGACACTTCCCCGGGTCGTGCATCTCACCGCAAGCACGACACACGAAAAAACAATTGTCAGAGGGGTGTCCTTTACGCCCACACTTCTGGCAAGTGAGCCGCTTCCAGCAACCGAGATCTCCATGCTTGGTCGATCCGCAATGAGTACACGGCTTCAATGGCATATTGCGATCTTGATAGTCTTGACGAGTGTTCGGGTCGACCGATCTCGCGTTTGCTGCAACGTCATTGGGGGATGAACGGCGATCCGCAGTAGCAGCCACATGGATCGATCTCAATCGATCTTCCAAATCCGATCCGCAGGTGTCCGATCCTGACTCGCTGCAGACGTCCTCGGTACGGACCATCCTTACCGCTCGTGCAGGCTTAGACAGCGCTGGACCCTGAGTTCCCTTCTGCCTGAACTTGGACGATCCCATCATCACTTTCCCTTGACGCGATCTCCCTTGTTGATATCCGTGCAGTGTCTTTTGCATGGCTCCCGCGTCTTCTACATTCAGCAGTAGCAATTGATTGGACAGATCGGGGTCGTCCAAGGTGTCAATGAAATGGTTGACATGTTCCTTGCGCGCAGCTGGCAATCCAGTCATCACCGGTATCTCCGCCTGCATTCCTGTTAAAGTCTGAAGAGCACTGGACGAGAGAACGAAGCTTGAAGAACGCTGAAGAAGTCTGCACTGCGAAGTGTAGACGACTTGTGCTGAAGAAGGAATATTTGGATGTTAATTTATTTGTGGGTTTTGTTAAAGCTACCTGATTTATCTCTGCACTGATTTATATGTTGTCCACATATAAATCATGAATCATAAATCATGTAGGTCATCCAATCATCCTATGCGTCTAATCATTGGTAAAAACTCACCGTAATTACGCGGGATCGACTTGGACAGGTTTACGGTTCCCATGGTAGCTGATAGCAGTACCTCAACCGTCAACCCACAATACGCCCCCTCAATGCGAACACGCGTGTATGCCGAGCGCTGCCGTCAAGTCCTTGTGACGCGGTCCTGGCAGTCCCTTCGTCATGATGTCCGCCAACATGATCGTAGTCTCACAGTACTCCAACTTGACATCACCACGCTTGACTTCATCACGAATGTGGTGGTACTTGATGTCGATGTGCTTGGCCCGACCATGGTTCACCGGATTCTCTGTCATCTTGATGCACGACTGGTTGTCTTCCATGATCTTGAGCTCGGGTCCAGACTTGTCCTCTGCGGCATCCAGAATCTCGCACAGCAATCGATGCACCCACTTGCCTTCTTGTTGACGGTCATCGGTTTTCTACCAGTATTGGTAACCGTGACCGATCCAATCCGAACCGCCTGTTCAGCTTAGTATTTACGACGTAGTTCTCACGGTAATTACCATAGTTGATTGGACGCGTAGGATGATGAGACGCTTCACATGATTTATATGTACACCACATATAAATCATGTAGTAAGTAGTAAGCCCCGATAATCAATCACTTTCGAATCTTCCAACTATTGGGCAAGTGTTTTCTGCTCTACTCTCTTCGGTCTCTCCGCTCCGTTCGCTCCGCTTTCCTCGCTCCGATCTACAATGCAACAGGTTATGAGCCCAAGCGCCATGTCGTCCACCAGCAACGCCTCCATTGACAAGTTCAACGGAGACAATTACGCAACGTGGAGCCGGTACATGCGCGGTGTGTTTTTGACGAAGTCCGTCTGGCACGTCGTCAACCGTGAAGTGACTCCGACTTTCACCGACCCGCGAGCGTCCGATGACTACGTCAAGGCAAGCAACGTCGCGTTTGGTATGATGCTGCTGCACATGAACGCGGACTACCATCATGTGCTGGACAACTGCGAGGAAGCCTGGGTTGCGTGGACAAGTCTGAAGACGCTGTACGGTGGGTCGCAGAAGGC